CAGTGTATGCCTAATCCATCTCCACTTCCTTCCAGTGCATATTTGTTAAGTGATGGGTTCTTCGTTGGTTCGTTGCCAGCCATCCACCCAGAGTTCCTTGTTGCTTATTCTTTCTGGCCTTCTGATCTGAGCTTGAGTAACGAGCGAGCGTAGGCAGTTGTTGATGAATGTCTGTAGTTTGTTGGAAATCCCATTCGTAACGCGCCATGTCTGTGAACCATACAGAAGCACTGACTAGGCTGACATTACTGTTGAAAATCTGGATCTTGTTTTTTATGCTGAGTGCAGTTCAGTAGATTTCCACACTGGTTTCAGGTAAATTCAGGAAGGCCTGTCTTGCTTTTCCGATCCTGGCTGGCTTTGACGTCCTCGTCTGTGCCGCCTGTAGTTGAAACAGTGCTTCCTAGATAGGTGAAAGAGGCCATTTCCTTTAAGTTTTTCCCGTTCATGGTGATTGGTGCTTGTTGGTGGTGTTGATTGTGTATCCTCATCATGAAGTTGAGGTAAAGAGTTGACTGCCATTCTATACTCTGTTCTGCGATGATGCGAATCGTTAGAATTTGATCCGCACATGATTTGTACTTCCTGAAGCTAATCAGCCAGCCAGCCTGTTCCGGTCGTAATGTTGAATCCACAGCATTATTTAGTCTCTCCAGGATGATGCGGCATATTATTTTGTTTGGTGTGTACAGGAGCATGATTTCACGCCAGTCCTTGCAAACACTTGGGTCTCCCTTCTTTATGAGTTTGACAAAGTAGCCCTTCTTCCAGCCAATTGCCAGGTACCTTTCTTTCTTTCCAAACCTTCAGCAGTAGTGGTGTGAGCATGTCCACTACTGATGTCTCTGCGTCTGTTTTCAGTGCTTCTTGCGGAATTCCATCTGCTCCTGCTGCTTTCCTGCATTTCAGTAGATTTATGGCATTTAAGACTTCGACTTTCGTTGGAGGGCTTGTGTTCACTTGTAGTTCTGTGGGTGAGCTGCAGGTGGTATTTCTGGACGAAGTGCAGGTGGTGGTATAGGTCAGCCCATCGTTTCCTTTGTTTCTCTCCTTTCGTAATTAAATTTCCTACTGAATTCATCTGTGTTGATCACTTCTATCCCAGATAGCAGTCTGGTTATTTGATGCAATGTTGTCAGGTCTCTCCTACCAGCAGTTTGTTCTGCTTCATATACCAGTGTGTCGTGGATGTGTCTTTTGTATTTGCGCGCACTCTTCTTCACTTCTTTGTCCAGTGTAGTGTTTTATACGTTGTACTCAGTTCTTCCTTTCGTTGTGCATCCTTGCACTGGTTCATCTTCTGCTTCACCATCCTCCTCTCCATGCTGTATCACCTCCCATGTGTCCCTCGAGATCCATTCCTTATCTTCTTTCTTCTTCCTTCCTAATACTGTTATGGAGGTTTCTTTCCATATAGCTTTCAAAGGGTTCCAGTGTTCTTCCACACAGGTTCCTTCAGGGATGCTGCTTAATGTCTCCCATTTTTTCCTGATTACTGACTGACTGACGTGAAGATGTCCTTTGTAGTTAAACTTGAACTGTGGTCTATCACCAGCTTCCTTGAAGGCTTTTAACTTGATTTGGAAGGTTCCTTGCACTAGATAGTGAGTGTTGTGAACCTTCATCTGCTCCTCTTCTTGATCTTGTGTCAGGTAGGCCTCGTCTCCACTTTCTTGAAATTGAGATGAAGTCGATCTGGTTTTTAGTGTTTCCATCTAGTGAAATCAACTACATATAGTTTTGTGGATACCTTTGCGCTTGAACACGGTAAGGAGAAACCAGTTAATAGTCAGCATAACTAACTAATCAATAAATTTTTATCTTTCAACAGATAAGAGTAAAAATTGATGCCATCTGTAACATATGCGTTTATTTAAAAAATTTTTCAAAATACATTCGTATTGCATGGCTATTTTTCATTTAATGAATGTAGAAACAATGGATTAATTAACCTATAATGATTTGGTTGAAAAAATTGGTTAACAATAGTTGGAAGAAATTTTGTTATTCACAGTACTTTTTAAAGAAGCTAATATCCTTGTTTATTTTAACAAATTAGAGTGTTCAGTCGATTTACCATTAATTTTTTAAAAATGATGATAGAAATATTTTTATAGTTTTTCTCCTATCTAAGTTGTTTAACTGATGACACGAATCAATCATCTTGATTTTGGTCTACAGTGTTAATAAATAATTTTTAATCAGTAAAAATGTTATTTTAAAACATCAAACCTTAAACATTTGTTCAACAGTTTCCTTTCATCGGTTCTACATTTCTTATCAAACCTAAATAAATTTTTTCTTTAGTTAGCTTAATGCAGCATTTTGTCAGAAACGACTTGAACAGTTTTAAATTGAGACACTTTTTTACAGAGCTCATTTATGCATACTTGAATGTCATGGAACGAATAAGATTCTTTTTTTATGGTCGCAGATACTCATCGCTAGTGTGTAAGTAAAAAATAATGGCTTTTAGATTGTTAACTGTTGTACACATCTACAATGGAATCTGTAATTTTAGCTATAAGGAGTTGATTTAAGGAATTGCTTCAAACGAATCTTTCATTTACTTGATGTTCACTATGCAATGTGAGTTTAAAACAGGCTATCAAAATTAACTACTTCAGTTTTAATCTTGATAATTTTAGATCACTTATTGGTAATGTAAATAATAGGTTTAAAGTTATTTTTCCATCAATACTGATTTCTATTTACTTATTAAGATTCATCAGGTGTACAAACTGAAAATGTATGCTAAAAGATATGAATTATTATGATTTATCTAATGAGGCTCATGAAGCTAATGTCTGTTAACAAAAGCAAAACCAAAAAGCAGTGTAATCTTATCAACGTACACTTATTTACATTTTTGATTTAATCACCATCAGGAGTTTATTTTCACGCCAATCACTAAGACTCAGCAATCCTTATTTCATTATTGATTTAGTATTTTTGTTGTCTTTCAGTTAATTCATAGTCATGTCATCATACATTGCACCTAATGGGCAAGAATAAGTTTTGTCTCATCCATGATAATAATTTATTTATTTGGTATACAGTCATGATTAAATATTAAATAATTTTTCACTTGACGAATGTTATGTAGTGTACAGGAGCTGGATATACTAATCTCTATGAGTGAATGTCTACTTAGAGATCTCTGTAAAGCATATATTCGTTGTTCTTGCAAACAGATTACAGTATGGAATCTTGTGGTTACCGTTATACTGGGTAGACTCTTATAAATTTATCTTAAAGAAGTCTTACTCATATTCTTCAGATATTCACTTCATTTTTGCCTATCAGACCAAAAGTCACCAAACATACCGTTCTTTTAATGATGGATAGTGGTTAGCAGTGTAATTCAGGACGCGGTTTTCTTCCTATTTGAGAGGAAACAACATTATACCGTTCTCTTACCCGTAGGACTGGGTTACTCTCACAAACGTTCTGATTTCCTGTCAATTTGGAAAGCGTAATAAAATAACGTAATCTTAGACTTTGTACTACATCCATGTGTATACATATATGTATATGTAAGTGATTACTGCTGAGTGTTTGAAACCATAAATTATGTAGTACGCAACAGAACAGTGGTTATTAGTGTCATGCTGATATTCGTGTTGATAACTGGATCCCATCAGTTGTTAAATAACTATTGATAACTAAGCCTGATAACTAGTAATCATTTTATAATTTGCTCGGTACTCCATACTTCATTAGTAATAGGTAGTACATTTTGAAAAATACACTTGTAATAGCCCTAATGATTGAAAAGTGTAATTGTTTGTGATAAGATTACTGATTTGTATGTGATCTGTACTACCATATTGTCCTTAAAATTATCAATTGAAAGCACAAGGTATGCTTGTTTGTGAAGTAATTAACAGAATCATAAAATAAAAAGTATCAGAGAAGAAGCTGGGTTAAAACTTTAGAGCTAAGATTAGGAACTAATTTAATGTGAGCAGATCAGTTTTGCGATTATAAAGTCATAAATTTTCTTTTATTAGGTTTCAACTGCATTTCAGTATCTAATAAGTACTGTCCAATTATTCAAGAAATCATCCAACAACTGCAAGGCGTAGTTTTATCACTAACTAGTCGATTCCACTTTTGCATGATTTTCTCTTTCCTCTGCATCATGATTTATTGTGCGTAATATGCTATAAAAGAAATAGATGATATATGAATCATTGAATTTAAGAGAGTTATCACTTGAAACTCGTTGTGTTTATAAACTGTTTGCTGTCTTAAACAGTGATTTATAAAAAATTACAGATCAGACTTTTTTCTTCGAGAAATAGAAAGGAGGATGTCTATGGGTACATTTTGACTGACCTAATTAAAAACGAAAAAGCAAACCAATGCATATAGAAGTAGTACTGAAAAACCACTAAAAGGCATACTGAAGAAATAAACCAGCAATGCAGCTTATTCCGGTGACTAGAGGAGATTTTGTTTTCCCTTATATATATATATATATATATATATATATATATATATATATATATATATATATATAAAATATATCAATTTGACTATCTGAGATAGCCGCAGTTTAGCAGGCTAGTATTTATACCCAGTGATCATTGAAGGTGGGTTAAAAACTTCGATCACGGCTGGATTCGAACCAGCGACCACCGGGTACTGACCTCGTAACTGAGTTGGTAGGGAATCGAGCAGGAAACCCGGTGGTCGCTGGTTCGAACCCGGCGTGGTCCAAATTTTTACCCCACCTTCCATCATCACCGGGTATATATATATGTCGACTGAGACAGGGAGTTTTGTAATCCCAAAATTCAAGTGTGTTATGTCAATAAATCTTCACCGTCTTTAACTAAATGAGTCAGTTACTATCGTTACTTACCAGGGAAAGATTATTAACTAGAGGTAAATGTGTAAGTTTAGTTAACTTTTCATTAGACCTGCTATCTAATTCTAACTTGAGTCAAATTCGAATCACTTAAAGATTGTTATATTTTTGTAATTTTTTCTAGTACAATGAATAACTCATTCTCTTCTTATCGATACTATCCACCGACAGAATTTACACCAGCAACTCTTCCAGTTGTTGTTAAGTGTAAACAATATAATGACCTACCTAAAGATTATACATTGTTGCAAACTGATTTCCATTCACAGCATTACAGTAAAAGTTTAAAAACTGACAACGTAAATGGTGAGGTAATTGCACCAAGTAATTCAACATCAGAACAAGTGAATACATCAGGCTGTGAAGCACAAGTTAGATGGAATACATCAAGTCTGTCTCCAGAGTCGAATATTGCAGTGGAAAAAAATAGTCCAAAAAGCAATATCTATAGGGATTATAGTAGTAATAATAACAGTAATAGCATTGAACCCGTAGTGCATCATGGACGACAGCGTAGTATGCCTATTTTTATGCCATCCTACACAAAACATGATACTGTAACAGATAGACTAGATAATGAGATAGCAACAGATACAGAGAATTCACAAGAGTCAAAACAATTAAATCATCTTACACTTGTTGGTAATTCATCACGATCCATTTCCACAAATATCATGAGTAACTCTACAATTGATACAGCAGTAGGCACACCGATAACAGCTTTAACAACAGGCAATCCAAGTTCTTTAAATTTAGTTATTGATATACATTTACATGGTCCTGCCAATGACTTAAATGATAATCGTATGACACAAAGTTGTATACAAGAACAAGATTACACAAAATCAATAGATGAGAAGATATTAAATAAAACAAATTGTATTAAATGTTCCATGGATGAACTTTTAACAAATATGGATTATTGTACACTAAGATGTAAACCACATAGGGCTAAATCATTGGTTGATCAACGAAATTCATCTTCACCATCATCATCGTATGATTTGAATAATGAAAGTAGTCGACTCAATCACAGATTAAGCAAAGTGTAAGTTGGTAAAAGTCATAAACATGCATGATACAGCCTGCTTGCATGTTTTTCTGCCTATCTGCTGCATGGAACGATTCCTATCTTTTTTATTTGGATTTGCCTGCTTCTACTTTTTTTTGCTTGTGAGTATAGAGATCTTGGAAAATTAATCATGAAAAGTTAAGTGACTTAAAGTATTGAGTCCATGCATTTGTTTATTGTGTCAAGAAAAATTAAAAAGCTACATGTTTTGCATATGATATCGAACAACTGCTCACCATTAGTTTATAGTGATGTTATCAAACAGAGTTTCTCAATCAATCGGATAAGCATAATCCTTTTCAGATTATTTAAGTACGAAAGGGTCACCAATTAAGTATCAGGAAGCTGCAGGTGAAGTTTGTTCTAAGTGATGACAGAAAATCAGTTAGAAGTAAATCTAAGGTGATTCCTAGGGATATAAAAATCGATTCATTTACATAATCGAGTCTTGGAGGAAGTCAATTGTTACCTGAGTAGATAAGCGGTTGAGTCTTTTAATTTGGAACTAAGTGGCCCAGTTTTGCATCGCCGAAGGAATACCAGTATCATTATGCTTGCACATATTCCTTGCGAATAAGTGCCAACAAGAATGAAAACTAGGTCGAACAGACCTTCGTTCCCATTGACTCTCAACACATAACACCAAGGTTATCATGGGATTGCATTCGACTCAATTAAATAGTTATCTGTACACACACATGGCAATCAAAGCGTTTTTACTTATTTATGAAGTTGTGCTGTTAGTCAAGGTTAGTCAGTCAGTTATGCGTTTGCCAACTAGAGCTCAAATCTACGTCAATGAACATCAGCTAAAGTAACCAGATTGTAAATAATCCCATCAAAGATTGAAGTAAACGAAAGCAAATGTTGTCATTATCTAATTCTCATGAGAAAAAAGCAACGAAAGAATACAAATGAGACAAAATTATACATACTACCACTATGAAATTGAACATCTATGGATGTATATTGGTGAAAATTTATCTGAAATAAATGGTGCGCGGGATGGTTACTTCACTGCTGACAAATCGACGAAATGGAGAAACTAGTATAAAAGTGTCAGTGAGTGGATATGGTATCTTGTTGACAAGTCAAAAACTTTTCCTAGACAATTATGACCTAGACAGATGTGTGTAAAAGCGAGTCAGACAGTCTTTTGTTTTGACAGTTTTTTTCTGCGGAAAACTTTCTTCTAGTTTAGTCACACATAACAATCTATTTCCTTAGAACCTGAATGAAATGCCAAGTATTTAGACCGCTTCTGCACTCGTCATTTGTCTGATGAATTTAATTTGAGTTTTGCATGAAAATGCTTTCTGTTTTCTAAAGTTCTGAATTTTGCACTTATGTTAACAGCTTCATGTAACACTAGACATTTTATATGAAAGTAAAGCACATGAGTCTTTGAATTATTCAGTTGAACAGCAAACCAGTTAGTAGTAAATTCAGGTCAGAAAAAGAAATAGACAAGAATGAAAAGGAAATATATATTTAGGCATAAAAGCCCATAAAACAAATAATTATCCAGCGAAATTCGTTCGTAAAGTAGAAAATACTATTCAACTAGATGTAAAAGTACTCTTATATCGTAGAGCACAAAAATAATCATTCCAGACGGATCATTTACCTTGGATGAGATTGGGAGAGTGCTCTACAGAATATCGAACAAACTATAGAGTGTTTTTTCGGTTCATGCGTAGGCCAAAAGACATCAGTATTTGCAATCCCATTGTGTCTATTAAATCAAATACCTAGACCACTATGCAATAAACATGGAGCAAAATCCATGTGAAATCGAAGAGAAATGAACACCAAAGGGCTTTCATCCGACCCCCTAGAAACTCAGTAGAGCTGAAAACACTTCAGTCACAGCTCTGCACACTTTAATTTCAGGTCACATAATTGAATTTGACAGTATCGAAAATATTTAAGAGGGCTAAAGAAGTTATAAAGAATGTTTAGAAGCAGAATCTGTCGAAATAATCTGGGATCGAAACTGTCTAAATAGAGATGAGGGAATAAAGCAAAACTTAACCTGGTTTCAACCTAGCCAATACACATACAATAATAACTACAAGCATTCGAGCACACGTAAACTTCAGTTTGCGATTCATACACTTATCCCATTAAATATGCGACCTTTGATCATCACCTTTTTCAAAAGTTTGAGGATACAGACTCATTTATGCAGAAAAACGTAGATCAGGTTGTCATATGAAAGCTGAAATATTGTCAGTTCCCACTTATTACAACCTTGATAAAGCTATTAGCACTAATAAGCCAGTAGCCGTTTAGAACAACTTTGTTTTATTTTACATGACTTAGGAAACGCAAATACGAAAGTCATGAATATCAGTTTCCCAGTGCCCAAATTTGTTCAAAGCAACAAATCTTAACTTGGTTTCAGTGTCCCTGAAAATTGAGTACCTTAAAATCATACTGAAGACGCCTTAAAGCCAACCTACTGGGTTGAGACTTACTTGTCATGATCTAGTGGCCTAGTGGATAACACTTCGAAGTTTGAAGTGATGGGTACTAGGTTCGAGTCAGGGGGCACAACACTACTCACTGGAGTGCAGGTACAACCAGCTGACGAGTCATAAATGGGAAGAAACGCGCATCCTGGACTGCGCTGCTAGCTACCAAGTAGACCACAAAACTCTTATTCAGTGCTTAATATGTTAAATCGTTGTTTTGCTGTGTTGTGACAGAATTCGTTCCTTATAGAGTGTTGTGGTCAAAATGTAATTTATCGAAATGCAACTCAGATTATGCGGTTTTCACTTCTTAGATTATTCACATGACTTATGAAGAAAATAAGAAAGATGCACCATCTGACAGAATCAGCATATAGTTTGAAGGTGCAAAACTAGACCTCAGCACACCACCTGACTGAAGTTCACTCATTTTCGCTTTGAATAGTTCGGGCTGTTACTTTGCATTTCATTAACGCTTTTAATGTATCTCATGCAGAATGTGGAGCATCTCTACTTATTTATTGTCTGTGCGAAAATATATGAAGTAATTAAAAAGTATGTTTGATATGATAGTCGGAAGCTTACAGATAGCTTGCTTTCATCCAAATCGACCATTTCACGATAAACATATTCATATTTTGTAAATGTGTAAGTATTTCAACTACAAATATGCTAATCTTGATTACTATTTCCTTTTAGTTTATGGAATAAACAGAATGGTCATGTGAATAGAATAAATTCAGTCGGTACAAAATTGGACAATGTAGATGCAATCAGAATAAAATGTTCAACTGATATGAATAATTGGGATTCACATTTTCATAATAATCATAGTAAATCAGAACAAATTAAATCACGTTTAAGAAACCAACAGAGTCGTAACTATTTGCCACGAGTATATGACCAAACAACATTTGTGGATCCAACTAATGGAACATATGTGGATGACTTACGCATTCGTCGGACACCAATGCCTCATCATAAACAATTTATCAAAAATGTAGAAGGTTAGTAGTATATTGTGTCAGGTGGAAGTTATCTTTTTGTGAATACTTTATGTTTTCAAGAAGCGTAGGCTTTAGCTAGCCAAACATTGATCATCAACCATACTAATAATTATTTGTGCTTACTAGCAATTAGTGAGAGGTACTTATCGTGCTTCAGTGGGCTAGCGGATAACGCTTTCATGTTTGAAGTGCTAAGTATAAAGTTTAAGTCTCAGTAGGAACGACATCACTCACTAGGGTGCAGGTACATTCAGCTGACGAGTCCCGAATAGGACGAAATGTTTGTCCTGGATTCCACTGCCAGCCGCAGCCAAGTCAGTCAGTACGTATTCCTAATAAAATAATAAATTTATTTCATACAGACTGAAAAATAATTCCTAAAACATTCGTTTGTTATCGTTTTCTGAGCGAATTGAGACTACCTCACGTAATGTTAAATAGAGACTCTATACTACCCGAATTACCTGTTATGTGCTCAGTGAAATATCTTTTCTTCATGATGAGAAAACGGTTTATGAGAAATTTTTATGATCAGTTTATGATGATTACCAACCTGAGGTCAATAAATCCCTACAAAACCTCAAAATTGAGCTTATTGGTGAATAGCATCGAGAGGTGATTCCCAAGGGGCCAATGAGAAGTCATGACCAGTGGAGCCAACCAAGTCGAACATGATGACAGTTATTCAATGACGGCACTAGACGGAGGTTGCAATATATCGTGAACTGATAGGAGTAGAAAATATACATCACTAAATTCTGACTCAGTGGATCAATGGTAACGTGCTGGCTGCGGAACATGAAGGTCCTGGTTTCGATCTATGGCGGGTGCGGGGTCATGGGTACGCACTGCTGAGGAGCCCTATACGGGGACAAAACAGCTTCCAGGTTTCCCATGGTTCTTCAAATGATGTCAGTCCATGATGAATACTAACCTGAAGTCAATAAATCCCCACTAAACCTCAAAATTGAACTACCATATATCATTTAGGATGATGTGCTTTTTCTCTAAGAAAGTTGTTTTCTGTAGCAAAGTGTTTGAAATACAGTTGTGATTTAAGAGTGTAGGAAAACTCCTCATTAAGACATTGAAGAAAGTAAAGAATAACCTAATGCAGAGGCTCTTTGCAGCTGTAAACTTCTCAAAGCTTTCCAGTCTTTTGATTAAGATTGTTCATTTGATAATTATTTTCGTTTCAGTTAGAGGAAACGGTGACAAACGGGATCATTTTCCAGTAGTTAGAGATAGTAAAACTTGCTAAGAGTAGTGAATATCAATCACGCTTCAATTGAAGTTGGGTATTCGATGAATCGAACGATATGGTAACATTCTTGAAGAGTATATTATCCTCATAAGGGTTGAGAACAAGAAAGAATTTATATTACGTCCGAAGTTTTTAAAGTAGTATTCATTATGGACTGACATTAACTGAAGAACCATCGAGATCTTGGGAGCACTGAACATCTGTTTTATCCTGGTATGGGACTTCCCAGCAGTACATACCTACTATCCTGCCACGGATTCTGCTCGAGAACTCAGGTTTCATGGCGAACGCGTTAACTACTCAACCACTTGGTTGGAGTTCAATGGTCGGGAATTTCTTGTTTCTGTTAATTCGCGCTGTAGCACTACTATAAACCAAGATCTTAAGTTAGCATATGCTTTGACCAAATGGCTGAATAGTTAACGCGTTCTCCATGAAACATTTAGATTTTGAGTTAGACCTCCGACCGGCAGGGCGGTGGGTGCGCACTGCTGGGGAGTTTCATACTGGAACGAAACAGCTGCGCACTTCTCCTTCGTTTACAATGGTTCACCAAATGATACCAGTCCGTGATGAATACCTTAATAATAAGATTCCCATTAAACCCCTAAGTAGGTATCAATTTATCAGAATGTAACAAGCAGAGGAAAGGGCATTTTGAAGCGTTAAAAAATAGGACCATGAAAGAAGTTGAATGTATCTCTTTTATATGCAGAGCTATGATTTTCTATTTCGATGGCTAAAGCTTGGATAGTACAAGGAAGTAGTACAAATATAGCCTTTGTTAAGCTCCTTTTCACTCTGTAGAAAATTTGAAAAAGGAAGTTGTCGAGATTACATGATAAGTATTGATCATTATCACCTCTTCACAAAGATGTAGGATAGTGAGCTTGAGTGCTTTTGGACTGGATTGGCATTGAACGACCGGTATACTTAGCTCTACAGTACTGAGTGAACTGGTACACACAATTGTGGGTGATCACATTTGAGACCTTATCCTTCACGTAGATATCAGCATCCATATTAGTTGCGAATTTAGTTTTCATGCATAGCGTGTTCTACACAGAATTGAGGCGATATTTATGGGCCTTGGGCTTTATGCCTTTATCGACAAAAGTAGACGGAAATTTTTCGCAAGGGATTTTTCTCGGAAGTTTGATTTCATCTTCTGAGGCATCACGGCTAGAATAATTAAATCGAAGGGGAAGACTGATGAGGTCGATTTACAGAAAACCTATAAAAACCAGCACGGAGTGACTACCTTGCGAAATTTACCACTGAATGCCAGTTGGTTGCAAAAGAAAATCTGTTACGTCTCTTGCAACCGATATTCAACGTATTTACAACCGTGATACCTTAGACGATAAAGTAAACCTTTCAAGGGAAATCGTAATTGAAAATGAATTACCGAAGACTGTTTTTGATGAACTACTTGACAATGTGACCAATCTATCTATCATCATGAAGAAAACTTTATTTCAATCAGTCACTGAGAATGCATTTCTGAAATACTGAAGTTAGGAATACACGTCATTAAGATTTACATAACCTCTCACATAAATGCAAACCATAAGTGAACGTTACGTTCATAAAATTCTACCATTTTAAAAGGTACACTTGGTATCTCATATGTGTATACACTGATAGATAAGTTCTGGACATTATGATCTAAATAAAATCTATGGCTTACACCAAACTGATCAGTGTACAAACATTTTCTGGTTACATGAACCTGAAAAAGTGTAATAAATTAACTTTGTGTTAATTCATCTTCCTACTGATATACTCTACCGGATAATATCAACGGTAAAAGTAGAGGTACATTTATTGGTTGACTGCATTTAGTAATTGTACTTTGATATACATTCACAATGGAGACAATAACAACAGTGAAGACAAAAGTAACACTTGTAAATAAATGATAATCATACAAATCGATGAATTGTTTGGTATAGTAAATAAAAGTTATTTCATTCTAAATTAATGATAAAAACAACCATTTTAATGAGAATCAGGGATTATTTCTAGGTGTTATAAATTCATTCACAAAAATTGATATTGCAAAACTTTGCCTAATTATTTTTAGATTTAATTCAACGAACAGGATACCGCTGCAATCTCATGAGTTTGAAATATGCTGTTAAATAGAAATGTCCTCTAACAATATTCTTATCAGATAGATAGATCCTAAGTAGCTGTGGCTCACCAGTTTAGATAATCGGCAACCAAAACGAGGGTCGCGAGTTCGAACCCCATTCCACTTACATTGGATTTTGAGCACCTAAGTAGCATCATTAGTTGTCATGCAATAGACAAAGCTCACAGTCTACTGTATGCGGTTGTTCAGTGGATTTCAATCTTATTGGAAAAGTTATCTCGAGCAAGTGTATGTTTGAAGTTAGAATTTTGATTCCACAAGCATATCGATATGCTTTAGAAATTAGGAGCTACATGATGATCAGTATGTAAACAATTTATTTACGTAGTTCATTAATGACTACATGACGTCAGTCATGGCCTGAATAGATTACTGGTTAGATGTCTAATTATGACGTTGAGCAATGTGGGCTCCAGTTTCCGAAATAACATTAAGCTATCTCGAGTTGACGGTACAATTCAGTGGATGAAGGGTGAGGTGACGCATTGTTACCAGTCACTAGTGATCATTTAAGCATAATGATTTTAATCCACAACCATTGGGTGTTTTGCAGATCCAGACTAGTAAACTTTAAATTTCATTACACGTCTTAGGCTGATGGTAAGAAACTGTATAGCTGAATCCTAAGCTGTCGGTTTGTTATTCTCAGTTTTGTCCAAATTTTTTTGTACTGTAGCTAACATTACAGTTTTGAAGAAACAATGTTTAACCCATTAGGGTTAAAGGTTTCATTATTACGTTTACTGACAAAACTTCAAAACCCCATTAGTAGCAGATTAAATTAATTTTTTAAAATTTTTTATTTTATTTTTTAATTAATTAAAATATATTTTTTTTATACGTGGTTCTTATTTTGGAAGGTACTGAAGATGACAATACAAAGTGAAGTTTTGACTGTTTGTTTAATCTAGAAGATAATTTCAGCGTTACTATGAATTTCACAAGACTTTATGTTAGACATGCATCTAGAACGTCATCCAAATATAGGAAATGATCGAACATTTCAATCCAACAGAACAACGGAGAACTATAAGCATATCAGTAAATAGTAATAACTAATAACCGTTGAACAAGACGTGAATATCGTGCCTGCGTGGCCTGGTGGATAACGTCTTGGCGTTTGTAGCGAGGGGTACGAGGTGATAGTCTCAGTGGGAACAACATCACTCACTAGGGTACAGGCACACCCAGCTGACGAGCCCCAAACTGGACGAAACGTGCTTCCTGGATTCTTCTGCTAGCCACAACCTGGTAAATTACCATAGGGAGTGATCTCAGTTTGCACTTTAAAGCCTCAACTATACCTGAAAAAATTGTTTGCTCATCAGCTTTGCGGAACTGAACGTTCAACAGTCTTCCCTTTCACTTAACTGCTGTTGTGTTTCTGTTTCATATAACATTTATCTCAGACATAACATCTTGGCCATATTCTTGTAATAGTATTTAGTCTTTCCATCCAGGAACTATATGTTACACAACAAATCTTCCGCTTGTGGATAGTTATCACATGATGTGGACTTTTCTGATATACATTTAAAAACCAACCTTAAATAAACAGTGGAATATTCTGTCTGAGGT